AGCAATTAAGTTATTAACATCCCAATACATTTTCATAAATTAATTTCTTAATTAAAGTTTTTATATATATAAATAGTATTTTGTATTGGATGTTCAACTGGAGAATTGAGAGTGGGCAATCCTGAGCAGTTAGCTCTTCCTCAGCCATAGAAATAGGTGCTCTTAACTCTGTTTCATCAGCCTTCTCCTAAAATGCCTTTTCCACTCATTTCATGCTTTAAAGCCCAGTTGCAAAATCTAATGAAAACACTCTAGACTGATTACAATCGCCCTCTTGGCCAAATAGAGGTGTCGTGCTTTCTACTGAAATCATGTCAGAAAGTATGGTTTTAGCAAAAATGGTATGTTCAAGAATGCTCAGCTCCACAGCACCTAGTATGCAGTGACGTGAAGCTGTTGCCTCTTGCAGGCTGTATTAGAACAATGTGGTTAAATGAAGCTAATGCCTTGGTGTCTGCCTGTGGCAGCAGGATGCTGAATTCTTTCACTTCAAATATGTGTTGAGAGTTTTTTGCCAATGCAGTTGCTTTCCTTGCTGCTCTTCACTTCTGTTCTGTTTATGCTACAGTTGTGTTATTAGCTGTTGGGCATGCTAGTTTAGCTTTAAATTACATCTTGTACAGCATGAATTAGAAGGAGGAATTGCATTAATTTAGCCAGTGCTACATTTCAGTAAACCTGCTCTTTAAAACATTATCATATGTAACAAGATTGATCCCAGTGAGTTAAAATTTTAAATGCACAAGGTCAAGCATGTCTTGTTTATGCTTCAAGGCCATGTCTGACAGTCAGTTTTCCTGCTGTTAATGCCCATCAGTCCAAATAATGTCCATGCTCTACTAATTAGAAAAAATACACTTTAGTGTTATGCCACAGAGGAGAGTGTAAAGGTAGCTATACAGAAATTTTTCAGGCTCTTACATAATGCAATGTATTCATACAATGCTTGTCAACCAATGCTTTTCTGAACAGAAAGTTACAATGGACTATATAATGTATTAATAGTCAGTTTAAATGTCTCTCCACATAGCTTTGCTTTCAGCCATCTGCTAAGCTCTACTTCTCCTGAAGTTTTCTCTAAGTAGTGTTGCTAAGATGTAAAACTTAGTAAGACTTTAATGATTTACCAAAGCTACTTTTTCTAAAATATTTCACTATGGTAGCAGTGAGAAAACAGCAAAACCGTTAATAATAATCTTTACTTTTGACCTGTGATGCAGAACTGCAATTACTGGGATGAGCAGAATCAGATCTTGGGCCCCTCAGGGATGCAGTCCATTCAGCCCAGAAGGGAATCTTGAGGAGGCAGTGGTTGGACACCTTTATGTCTCTCTGATCCTAGTACTGATGTCCCAGAATAGTTTCTTAGAACAAGGTAGGACACAAGACAGTTAACTTGTGCCAGGCTTGTTACAGAAGTACACGGAGAATTTACAGGAAATCATGGATCATCTAGTGCTATCCTGTGTCACTCGTCTCTCCTTCCAAATACAGAACTCTATAGAGGTAGAAAATCTATCTTTGGGCCTGTTTCAAACTGGAAATGGAGCAACCTTTGGCTTAATCTTAGGAGACCTGTCTGCTAGAGAAATATGTTCTCAGAGCTTGTTCACAGGAGTCTGAGCTTGTTCTCAGAAATCTGGCCAAATGCCCAATCAAGCTGTTGCTTGGGTGTCAGCTGGCTGGCTTTTATTAGTAAAGACTCGTGGGTGTGGGTCCAAAAACCAGTCTAAATTTTTAAGTGGATTTATATGAAGTTCTACAAATTTAGATGCTAGGCTCAGAGTAATTTTTCACATGTGAGCTTTCTGCTAAAATATTTACACCATCTCTAAAAATCCATTTATTATGTAGTATGACTTTGTAATAAAATCATAAGAATAGTTTGGGTTGGAAGGGACCTTTAAAGGTCATCAAGTCCAACCCCCCTGCAATAAGCAGGGACATTTTCAACTGGATCAGGTTGCTCAGAGCCCTGTCCAACCTGACCCTGAATATTTCCAGGGATGGGGCATCTACCACCTCTCTGGGCAACCTGTGCCAGTGTTTCAGCACCCTCATTGTAAAAAATTTGTTCCTCATGTCCTGTCTAAATCTACCCTCTTTTAGTTTAAAACCATTACCCCTTGTCCTATGGCTACTGGGCCTGCTAAAAAGTCTGTCCTCATCTTTCTTATAAGCCCCCTTAAGTACTGAAAAGCTGTATTGAGGTCTCCCTGGAGCCTTCTCTTCTCCAGGCTGTACAACCCCAACTCTCTCAGCCTTTCCTCACAGGAGAGGTGTTGCATCCCTTTGATAATTTTTGTGGCCTCCTCTGGATGCGATCCAACAGGTCCATGTCTTTCCTGTGCTGAGGGCTCCAGAGCTGGATGCAGTACTCCAGGTGGAGTCTCACCACAGCAGAGCTGAGGGGCAGAATCGCCTCCCTTGACCTGCTGGCCTCGCTTCTTTTGATGCAGCCTGATGCAGCCTGGAAAACGGTTGGCCTTCTGGGCTGCGAGCACACATTGTTGGCTCACATCCAGCTTTTCATCCACCAGTGCCCCCAAGTCTTTCTGGGCAGGGCTGCTCTCAATCCCCTCATCCCCCAGCCTGTACTGACAGCAGCAGGGGTTGCCCTGACCCAGGTGCAGGACCCTGCACTTGGCCTTACTGAACCTCATGAGGTTCACATGAGCCCACTTCTCAAGCTTGTCCAGGTCCTTCTAGATGGAATCCCATGCCTCAGGCGTGTCAACTGTACCACTCAGCTTGGTGTCATCTGCAAACTTGCTGAGGGTGCACTTGATGCTGCTGTCTATGTCATTGAAGAAAATATTGGACAGTATTGGTCCCAACACAGACCCCTAAGGGACACTGCTTGTCACTGATCTCCATCTGGACATTGAGCCATCTGATTGGATGTGACCATCCAACCAATTCCTCGTCCATCAAACAGTCCACCCATCAAATCCATGTCTTTCCAGTTTAGAGAGAAGGATGTTGAGGGAGACCATGTCAAAGGCCTTACAGAAGTCCAGATAGATGACATCTTTAGCTCTTCTCTGGTCCATGGGTGTAGTCACTCCATCACAGAAGGCCACTAGCTTATTCAGGCACTATTTGCCCTTGGTGAAGCCATGCTGGCTGTCTCAAATCACCTCCCTGTCCTCCATGTGCCTTAGCATAGCTTCTAGGAGGATCTGTTCCATGATCATCTCGGGCACAGAGGTGAGGCTGACGTGTCGGTAGTTCCCTGGGTCTTCCTTTCTACCCTTTTTAAAAATGGGTGCAACGTTTCCCTTTTTCTGGTCACCGGGGACTTCATCTGACCGCTATGACTTTTTGAATATCATGGAGCGTGGCTTGGCAACTACATCAGCCAACTCCCTCGGGACTCTGGGATGCATCTCATCAGGTCCCATAGACTTATGTATGTTCAGGTTCCTCAGGTGGTCACAAACCTGATCTTATCTTACAGTGGGAGGGACTTTGCTCCCCCAGTCCCCATCTTGCAGTGCATCCACTGGAGAGGTGTGGGAAGAGAGGTTGCCAGTGAAGACTGAGGCAAAGAAGTTGTTGAGCACCTCAGCCTTCTCCTTGCCTGTTGTTACCAGTTTGCCAGTCTTGCTTATCAGGGGGGTACGCTTTCTTTGACCTTCTTTTTCTGGCTGACATTCCTGTAGAAGCCCTTCTTATTTTTCTTTGCATCCCTTGCCAAGTTCAGCTCCAGCTGCGCCTTGGCCTTCCTGACCTCATCCCTACATGCAGAATATGCATAGGATAGAAAAAACAAAGATCTAGATATTGTTTGTTCATACTACTGACTTGCTCCATACTGTATATGTATACAAGCAGTCAGAAAAGGGATTGTCTTATATTGGTTTAAGTTGAAACAGTCTGCTTAAAAGGAAGAAAAAAAAAAAGGGGGGGGGAGGAGCGCACAGCTGTTCAACCATTCTTTGCTGTTTGTAAGATACAGCACTACAGGAAGCCTGAAGTGATGTTCTGTTTAAAACTATTTCTGAGGGTTCACTGGAGGGAGTAACTGAATACCTTCATTTATTAACCTCAAGGTGCATGAGGCAGACAGAGGAGATACAGATGGCCTCAAGTGTGACTCTTGTCACTTGTGATGGCCATTCTTGTATCCTGTAAATGCAGGCACGCTAATGTGGAAGAAGCTGCTATATCATTTCTGGAATACCTGTCTTCGGAAAGAGACTCTTCTGGCGATGTTACCTCCCCAGGCAATTAGAACTGTCTGATATTTGAAGGATGCTCTTCTCCAAAGATTCTACCACAATCTAGGCAACAATGGCTCTGCAGAGCAGGTTTGGGTTAAACAGCCAAAATGGTACTCATCCTCCTTCACAGATTACTGATATAAGATGAACAATTCCAAACAATTTTCTCCCTATCCTAAATTAGGAAATACAATTACTAGGTATTTCAGAATGATATGTTTTCTTCAGTTCTGCTTTCTGATAGAATACTGGGGTTATGAAAGCTGAGAAGTCAGACTTGCTGAAAGATACGGAAAGGTTTAAAGGTGTCTTGTGCTGCTTCTTTTTTTTTTTTCTGTTTCTCCCCTTTTGTTTTTTCTGTTTACTCTGATCTGAACTTTGAAATTGAAATCAGTAATAAATGTAACTTGAAAGTTCTTGAAAAAAGTACATATTTTTGTCCTAGAAGTGAAACTTTGACTTGTAAATTAGTTATGAACATCTTTCTTCAAAAGAAATGATTTTTAACTTGTGTGTTTCATTCGTATGCCATCAATATGATAAATTTTTATGTGAATATTAGTAAATGAGAATTGGCTGTACACATGCCATTATTCAGTAAAAATATATTCTGCTAAGGAAATCTTGAACTTAAAATAAACAAAGTCTGTCTGTACTTAAGAGTTTGTGACCTGCCTTTTTATAGTGGGTATAGGTCTAGCAGTTTTATTTTCTTCTTCAACAGGCTTTGCAAGTGCAGGAGTATAACACTCAGAATCTTAGAAAAGGGCTTACCGTGGAGGTGAATCCGGATACATGACGTTGACCTGAGAAAGCGTATCCAGATAGGAACCAAAATCAAAAGCTGGGGGAAACTCCTCCAGGCAGGTGGATCTTAGCTCTCCAAAAGAGCCACCATAAGAGAAGCCATCTGGAGCTGGAAAACAAGCAATGAATATTTGCTGCTCTTTTCCTCCATGGTGGATTCTCTGAGACAATATCACTGTTGATAACACTGACATAAATTGGAAGAAGTAAAGAGCCATACTGAATAGCAGAGGAATTTCTGGTATTCTGGAACATTAGGGTTTCACGGGACGTTTCTATTCCATTAAGAGCAAGTTAGCGTCATCTGTAGGTGAACTGTGGTGTTTCAGGCTATGGCGCAGGGACTGTGTATTTAGCACTGCCCTACAAGATGCAAGCGTCTAAAGCTTTTCTTGTGCTTCAAAGGTTGAAAAGGAGTGGTAGTTCTGCTGCGTGCAGCTTCAAACATTAGCAGGATTGCTGAAGTTTCCAGGAGTTGCATACATTGAAACCTTGCCAATTCTGTGAAGGCTTTTAGAAGGAGGCTTAGGTATTTGATTGTAGGTGTGTGCCTTGAGAAAATGTTCTCAATAAAACACTCACAAAAAGGTGAAAAACTGGAAAACAGTAGAGAAAATAAACTTGCTGCCTGCTCTAGGGGTTTTCTTAATGCTTTCACACAGGAGTTTCATAGCTCCAGAAATACCAAGAAGTTAGTGCTATTTTCTGTCCTTGAGTATAGTTAGTTAATGGTCAACATTCTGGGGTAAATTCCCTTAAGAATGTCCCAAATTGTGGAAATACAGCAATTTCTTCCTCTCCCCATCCCCCCCAGCCCCCACAATTGTCTTCAAAATAAAGTGATCCCTCCTTTTCACTCAATGCATTAAAATTGTACATGGAGAGAAGGGCCAGCTTCTAAAGTGACATCGAAGTAGTGCCTCGCAATAGAGGGTAAAGGACAGGTCTCACTTGAACTGGCCTGTTCCTCCTTCTGGCAATTTTCACCTCTGCCAATTTATTCTGGAGGAATTTAGCAGGACTAATCCAGTCTATCATGCACTGTGCTTTCCTTTTGCTTGATCAGTGAAGCAAGCCAACTTCACAGTGACTCCCGCTGCTCCCATGCTGGCCAGTGGAAGCATGCTGAGATACCAGGATGGTGTGTGCTAATGTAAAATTTTCACTTGGGTAGACTGGCACAACTTAGTTTAAGATTATGCTTTTGAATTTCTCGGAAAATATCACCATGCTTTTCTTTTTCAATTTCTCTAGCATTGTTATTTCTAACAAGTGGCTTGAAAATTGTCCTTTATGTTTTTGCCTGGCTTCAGGTTTTTTAAAGGGCCTGAAATGAACGTAGCAGTAGAGTTCAATGTAGTGATTGAATCTCAGTGGTCACTATTTTATCATGCCAAAATATTCATGGGTAAAACAGTAACTCCAATTTGACTTTAACTGTTTAATCTCAAATTTAGCTGCTGAAAAGTAGGAAAAATGGATGTTACAATAATGTTACAATAATAGTAGACATTAGCTTTTGGGACTTTTTTTTTCCTTTTTCCTGTTATGTTACCATGGGAGCTTGTATTTCACTTGGAGTCTAAAATTTATTCCCAAAACATAGCCATTATGCACTTACCTGGATAAATATTTCTGCGAAAGCCAAAAATAATTATTCCTGGCTCCAGGTGGACAAACTGATCCTGGGAAATGTGTTTCTTTTAGGCATGAAAATCCCTGGTCCAAATAATTAAAGAAAGTGCAATTGACTTCAGTGGATACTTGATTTACCTCAACGAAATCAAGATTTGAGCCAATGCATTTTTTTCTGATTCTCTCCCCCATCCCACTGAGGGGGGGAGTGAGCAAGCGGCTGGGTGGTGTTCAGCTGCCTGCCAGGTTAAACCACTACAATGCTACACTCAATTTGTTAATCCCTTTATCATTTGAATTTTTACTAGCTGAAGACCTACAAAGTAACTTTTTGTAACTTTTTTTTCCCTAAATACAGAAATCATCAGATTCTGTCATTTCTATGACAAAGTGGCTTTTAACTTCTCATCAGCAAACCCCAAACTGGCCAAAAATGTAATTCTACAATTAACTCCTTTATATTACCAAATCCTTTTAAAGTAGAGGGGATTTTTGTTGGGGGGCAGGGGCATAGGAATTAGCACTTTTTTGATAGCAAACCAATCTCTTTAATTATGATGACAGTTGTAATGATGTTGATGTCATTAATGACATCATTAATGATGATGACAGTTGTAATGACATTTTGATGCCCTGTTATTCTGTTTATATCCAGTTATTAACCTTTGTGGTCAGAAAAGTAACTGCCCAGTTGTTGTTGTTGGTTGTTGCACACTGCAGAAGTGAAAAGATTCCTGGTTTTCCAACAAATAGAAATTATATTATATGCTATACCAAGGCTATAATGGGATATGAAAATAAGCTATCAGGAGTCTAGTGATGGAGAAGAAATCTTATACTGTATCAAGGGAAAACAAGCTCTTTAAGAGATGCTGTCGGCATTGGCATTGTTCATGGTTACCATTAACTATGGAGCTTGTGCTATGTGAATTCAGTGCCGGCACAAAGATGCTATTAAACTACAAAGCTACCTGTGACCTACTCATACTATTTTTTAATTATTTTATTTTTTTAACCCTTGCACAGTGGGGCCAGATGCTTTTTGTTGCTGTAGCACCAGATTATTAATAAAGTTAAGCATTATCTTGCTATAACTAGCTTTCTTACCATAAACAGCATCTCTCCTCAGATGTGGGTGTCTTAACCGTCCATCCTTTCGCAGACTGCCAACAATGATTGTAACACAGGATAGAAATAGCACAAGTCCGATCACTACTCCAGCCACCAGAAGGGGCGAAACAAGTAAACTGGTATCACTTCCGTTTTCACTGTAGCTGGGGAATTCACTGGTTGGGCTGCTCTGGTTCAAGTGAACTTCTGTACAGCAGAGAGAGAAAGAATGTGTCAGTTGTGAAAGAGAGACATTTACAAAGCGTGGTTACACAGATGCCAAAACTAAGGGCTTTCAAAGCCCTAAGAGGCAGCCTGAGACAGATCCATTGTACAAAATGATGCTCTTATGGATAACCTATTTATTAGACCAATTTTTGGAGGTGTTAGTAACTGACTGGGGGAAGTTTTTGGAGGGGAGCCGCTGAGCAATCATTTCCCTGGGGAATATCATGCTGGAGTCAATGATTTATGTTGCATAATGGTAGTTATGATTGTTTATTCTGGAAAGATTCTTTGTATCATGAATTGATTGATGCTGAAAGAACTTCAGTGCACAAGGAGGAATGTGAGAACTCAAAAATTTGGGCTTCGAGTGGAACAGCAGAATTGTGTCTTGTTACTAAGTGTAAAAAGACTCTAAGGTTTTGCAGAGAAAGTTTTGGGCGAGAGTGAAACAGAGGAGCATGCTTTTGTAGCGTAGAACATGCTTTAGTATGTGGGATGAGTTGGATAAATCAAGAAACTGATTTGGAGCAGAGGGGGTAAGAGACCAATTCCGAATGGGATTCTTAGCGAGGCACTGGATTTTCATCAAAGGTGTGGCTTTTTAAGCGGGCAGAAGCTTGGGCATTATGGCAGTCCTGTTGGCCTTAACATCTAATAAATTATTGAAATAAGTGCTCATTGAGATGGTGTTCTAAGTTTATTTACTTTCAGGTTTTTAATGAGTAAAACATATGGGGAAACCCAAAGGGCAATAAATTTGAACAGTGACCCAAGGATGGTGCCAAACCTGTGCTCTAGTCCAGTCTTTCCTAGTGTTCAAACTGGCTACATGCCTTGTGGAGCAGTTACGTTTGGTGCAGTCATTCTCATTTCATCCTCCCTAGTTTGGCCTGATACTGTGTAAGGAAGAAGCTGTGTGGGCAGGCAGACCTCACCTTAAAACAGTGTGGACGTATCGCGATGCAGTAGGTGCACCCTGCGCTTCACCAGGTGACCACAGACTGGGCTGAGCCCTGTCTGGCTTGTGTGCCTTTGTTCCAGGCAAGCAGTTCTGCACAGTGACATTACTACTTTTACTTCCACCCCGTGAGCTTCCCATGAGGTTGCAGCCTCCTTTGGGCATCCACCTGCTCCAATGTGGGGTCCTCCCCGGGCTGTAGGTGGAGATCTGCTCCACTGTGGCCTCCGTGGGCTGCAAAGGGACAGCCTGCCTTACCATAGTCTTCGCCACAGGCTGCAGGGGATTATCTGCTCTGGTGCCTATAGCACCTTCTCCCCTCATTCTGTACTGCCCTTGGTGTCTGTAGGGCTGTTCTCGCAACCTCTCACTCCTCTTTTGGGCTGCAATTGTGCAGCAACTTTTTCCCCTTCCTAAGTATGTGATCCCAGAGGTGCTACCACCATTGCTGATGGGCTCGGCCTTGGCCAGGGGTGGGTCCGTCTTGGAGCTGGCTGGTATTGGCTCTATCACACACAGAGGAAGCTTCTGGCAGCTTCTCACAGAAGCCGCCCCTGTAGTCCCCCTGCTACCTAAACCTTGCTGCACAAACCCAATACAATTCCCAAGTCAAATATCCTTTTGAGACAAGCTAAAGAGTGAGTATCAAAGTTAAACAGTAAGTTTCTTCTAGAGAATCAACTAGTGATGTGTGATTATATGTGAATTAATTGCCCACAGATGTATTTATGGGGGATTGTACTGCTAATGGAGGGGAGGTAAATGTTAGAAATGATGGGATAAAGAATGCAGGATTTCAACAGATAGAATCCCTGCTTAAGTAAAGGCTCTGTATGTTTATTTGTTGACAAAAGTTTGGCCATGTAGTAAAGTTAACCAAATCTGGGCCTGGGCCTTGAAAATGACTTGCAATAAGCACGCATTTTCCTATCTTTAATCCACAGCTTATTAAAAACCAAAGAAACAAATACCCACCCCCCAAATTAAAAAGAAATTTCCCATTAGCTGCTCAGGATCAAACTATGTACTGATGAAACCAGAATTTTATTGATCCAAGAAATTATTGGAGATGCATATATACCAAGACTAGCTTTCAGATATGGCATGGATATATTTTTACATCTGGCTGTATGCCAGTAGAACAGATAAATAATTTGTTTCCTACAGAAACTAAAGCTAACAATTTTGCTCTTTTGAATGTTCTGTAAAGTGAGTATGTGCTTTTGGGAGTGCAAGTGCTTTTTACATGGACAGATATTAGCAGATAGTTTTCAGCAATGTTTTCCCCACTCTTTTGCTTTGGGATATACCACTTAGTGTCTTGTAGTCACAATAAGCTTAAAAAAAAGATGATGGCTTCAAGCCAATGTGTATTATCATTGGCTAACGCTTGACATTGAAAGAACTGACTAGAAAGACAAAAAAGGGGGGAATTAGCACGTAGTAGGGGTTTTGTTAATTTTTTAGAAGCACTTGACTGTTGGCTGAGAATCTTTATGAGCAATTAAGATAGACAGCCAAGAAAAGTGCTGAGCTTTTACAAAGCATTTTATGCCAAAAGAGAAAACTGAATTTTCTGAAAATGAAACTGATTCTGTAGCATGAAATCAAAAGGGTATGGAAAACTGTCCTACTTAATACTCTTAGTGCAAAGACCTTTTGAGTACGGGATATATGTTTGAGGGGTAGATTCTGCTGATCTTATATGACCGTTGCACTAGAACTAAACTTCCCCAAAATTTGCAAAATTCGAATCTTGTTTCTTTGTCATTTGTACAGCTTATTAACCATCTCTGTTGGCAATGTGTCCAACACGTGTACTCACACTGGCTTTCCATAGCTTTGCTTATTCAGATTTTTGAAAATTCTGTCTTTGAAACGCAAATATCACAGCAGCACCAGTTAAGTTTAAACCACAACTGCAGTTCAGAAACCTGAACTGAAAGTACTGGCAGATAATTTATTGGTAATTTTGGCTGACTTGCAAGATAAAAGGGAGGAATCAAATTTGTTGCCATCATGACGAGAACATGAGCCTGTGGTGTGAGGTTTCTCCATGCGCTGTCAGGCTTGTTGTCTTCAAACTGAAGTCAAGTAGTACTGAAACTGGAGTTGGTGATACACTTCCTGTCAGGTTCAGTGGGAAAGAAGAGAGTCCACAGCGAGTTCTTTTGGATCTCTTGAAACTTGGACAACTTCTAAATGATCCTCTTAACGGGAAGGGACTGTCTAAAGAAGAGAAGAGTAAACTAGATATTTTTATTTTTTGTTGTGTATTGTTTAGCTACGGAAGCCAGCTGATACCTTAACACATGGACTATTTTGGAGATTCCTGTGGTGCCATGCAGTGTGAGCGTTAATAGTTGGTTCTATTTTGCTTTATAGGAATTCAACAAGCTAGCAGTGATTTCAGATAGAAAGTACTCTCTCTTATACTTTACACTTGTACTTGAGGTGTTGTTTTTTATTTCAAGACAGCCCATTTATCTAGCACCTTCTCAGGGCTTCCTTAGCTGTTCCAAATCTTGTCTATTTTATCTCTTGTTTCTCACCATCGTGAATCTTTTCCTTTTTTTTATGCTCTTAATCTATTTGAACTCAGTCTCTGGTAAAGACAAGAGATATTGCAGTAGATGAATAACTCCCCTTAGCCTAGCTCCTAAAACAATATGCAGTTGATAAACTTCTCTTATGGTATTATTTTCAATTTGATACTGTGAGTTTAGTCCTCCAGACTCTACAGACTGACTTACTACTATGGAAATTGCTCAAGTGACTAACAGCTACAGAATGAGTTGCTGTGTTGATATAAATTCTTTGGTTTTGAATTTTTTGGGGGCAAAAGATGTTTACAGGACTTTTGGCAAAGGAACATCTTACAAATTTTTCTCTTCTTATCCAAATACATCTTTTGATAAACCATACATTTCTGTATATAAAGATGCTATGTTTTTTCACTTGGAATAGAAGTATCTGGCAATTTATGAAAAGCCCATAAATATAACAGCAATAGCAGAGTTTTTGAACTAAGTTGTATTTTTCCATGAAACTGCAAATTGTAAACAATACATGCATAAATATGAATACTTTATATCTAATCCTCTAAATATTAATTATATTGGATGCACAAACCATTTCTTTCATCCAGTGATGGGAGCTGTGTAACTAACCAGACATGGCACAAACAGAACGTGCTGGCAGTTGCAGCTGTGAACACAATGCGAGGGGCACATATGGCTGAGGAAACACTTAATTTAGAATGAGAGTACTAGTGAAAATTGCCTATACTACCCATTTGGTGTTAGACAATAAATTATCCATCTGCAAAATCCTTTAAATATCACTTTATATTATTTTACCCAGTACTCCTGCATCTCAAAAGACCAACTTGTAACTGAAGGAAGTGTAATACAACTTGACTTTTTGGCACATGTTGTGCTATTTCTCCTCATTAAGCTATCTTTGAAGGGACACTTCTTACTCCTTTCTAACTTGGCAGTAAGGAATGCTGGAGTTTCAGTTGGGTCAGATCATGTCAGAGTGAAATTTCTTGGTGTGCAGATGTGTGATGGGAGCTTGGTTCATGCAAGATGTAGCCGTTTATTAGGAGTGGCTTCTCTCTCCTTCACTGGCTTCTGACTGCTTGTATCCCAGATGAGACAGAAAGGAAGCACTACATATAAATGAAAAACACTTCTCTCCATAATGAAACAGTTGTGGGTTTTTTGGTTTTGTTTTTTATTTTCTGATGGTGTATCAGCTGTAGTGAAGCTGCAATGGTGTCTGTAATTGATAGCGTTTTCTTTGTTCCTTTTAAAAATGTGAGATCATTTTAAGGCTGGATCTTATGAAGATAACCAAATTTCTTCCCCTGGCTTAAAATCTCTTCATCATCTTAATAAGGTGACAATTCATGTTATCACTGGTGGAGAGGATGAGACATGGAGTGGTTTTGTTTCCCAGACTGAAATGTGCATGAACAGCTCATGAAGAAGTGCTGATGCATTGTACTGGAGGGATT